AAAAAAAAAAAAAAAAAAAAAAAAAAGAGTATTTCCTTTAAATTAACAAGATTGCCAGAGATTATATGATTGGGACAAGAAGATGAAAGAGTAGTAAAATACATAACGTTAGAGCAGATTGCCTTGTTAAATTCCTAGGACTGGAAAAAACATGAGAAGATAAACACAGACCACTGAGCAGTACAGCTGCAGAAATGCTTGAGTCCTCCTTTCAAGCAAGGCTGTCCTATGTCCTGGTCACTACCAAAACATCCAAGTTCATATATTTTATTGTTATCACCAGAAAATTAAGAGCCAAAATAATGCATGGTGTGGTTTTCTATACTATACAATAATAATTTGATGTATTAACCAGAAATACAACCAGAAATGTGTGTGCTGTAATGGCTTGCTGCCTTCCTACATGTGCATGTCTTCTAAACTACATTTAAGGAGGAAACCCAAAACCACACACATATTAACATTTTCCAATATTAACATTTTCTAACATGAGATTACGCGGCAGTACATTCCAGGTTTGTGGGTGTTGACATCCAAGGTTGCTCAACCATTCAGTCACTGTTCAATGGACTGTAGTTCATCTGCATAATTCAATCTTGCTGCTCAAAAGTGTGGTAAATTTTGGAGAGGGTTTCTCATGCTTTAAGAAGCCCTATTTCATGGTTAGGATAGACTAGACATGAAATATATCACTCCAGTGACACCATAGCTGTGAAATACAGCCCTTTTGCACTAACACAAAGTCCGCACGTTGTATGCATCACGTGGCTCACACTAGAGTTACTTTCCCAAACTGGCCCTAGGCACCCTTCCACCCCTCACCCCTCAGGAGGTCTCCTTGTCCCTGGATGGGAGAATCCATCCAGTTTCCTTTTGACAATGCATATGGTGCATTCCTTCCAAAATTCTACATTAGCATTTGAAAAGGGTTCCTTGGAAACTAAAAATGCAAAGTAAATCATCCTTATCTATTCACTAAATCTTCCCGTTAAAATCCCTCCCGCCATTGTTAAAGTGGGGGAGGGGCAATGGAGCCTAGGCTCCGAGAAGAAAGCAGGCTACGTCGTGTTAAATACGGACAAAGTTAAAGATCAAAGCAAGCTAGGATCTCAGCCTGACCCTAATACAACATATGATACTATACCTCCCTTATTGTACATAGGAATTGTTTGAGAAATGTTCAAGATCCAATTGGCGAGACGCCCTGGGCACCTTTCTCTCCGTTTCAATGCTGCCATCTTGTGGATTACCTAAACTCAAGAAGTGGTGACCTTCCTTCATTAGAGAAAACAGCCGCGCTTTGTGTGTTTAATTTTATGTAATGGGGGGAGGAGTGGGACTGGCAGAAGCAGGAGAATTTTATCTTTAGGATTATTTTTATTATTCGCTTCAGTTTACCAAAAACAAAATCCAAGCCATTATGATTTCATTTTTTCCACACTTAAAAAGAGAAGCTACTTCTAAGAAAAAAAGGAGTTGAGTAAAAAAAGTAAAGCTGTGGGGGTTAAAAAAAACACCACAGTCAAATAGCACCTTGTAGAACACACAAAATAAATAATCCCTCTGAGAATCCATTCATACTTTCTTTTTAGATTCCAAAGGAAACACTCTGAACAAGAAAAAAAATTTTTTTTTTAATGTGCAGCTATTTAAAAATGCTTTGGCTTTACGTGAACTTGCCTGGGTTTTAAGTGGGGTGAACAATTTACATACACATTTTAAAATTCACTAAAAAAGCAGAAACTTACATTTAAAATTGATTGACCTGATGCAAAGCACAGAAGAAAAAATAATCTTAAGAAATGCTTCAGAGATCTGACCTAAAGACCTGAGGCATTAGCCAGAATGGTGAGAATACAGATAGCCTCCAGAATGAGACATCCAGCCCAGTCACATTTCTAGACTTTTAAGGTTCACAGGTCAATCTGTACTTAAGATTCTTTTCATTGGTGGATATCAATTTATATAATACTCAAGAATAGAGTATCTTTCATATTAAATATTGTGGACCAAGGGAGAATGCTACAGATGTAATATATATGCCTTGGAAAGTAACCTTTCTGGAAATTTTATGTAAAACCAATTTGGCAGGCAGTCCATAATCTTTTTAAAGCTGGATAAAAAAAAAAAAAAAAAAAAAAAAAAAAAAAAAAAAAAAAAAAAAAAAAAAAAAAAAAAATCCTAAACGTGATTTTGCAAACATTTTGACATCTCCGTGCGTCTTTTGAGTTTCCTGGTAATCCTGGATTTTGTGGCTTTCCTAGAATTTTCAAACATACGTTAAGTTATATAAATTGTGCCTTCTGTGAGCAAATTAAAGGCCTTTCTGACCTAAATGATTAAATTTGTCTTTCTCTGCTTTTCTCTATTTTTCCTTTCCACCCACTGAAGAGTTTCCAACATACGGTTTTAACTGCGAATTTGGCTGGGGCTCTCACAAGACATTCTGTCACTGGGAACATGACAATCACGTGCAGCTCAAGTGGAGCGTGTTGACCAGCAAAACCGGACCGATTCAGGATCACACAGGTAACGGAGAGTTCACTTCAGCCTCATTTCTTTGAATTAGCAAAGGTGTGGCTATGGAGGGTTTCTGTGGCCTGTGGGACCAGCGGTGTTTGAAAAGACTACCATGCATTCACTCATGTCTTCCTTTCCTGGAATTACCAAGCTCTCCTTTCCTAGAAGGGATGCTTGTCCGCCAAGTAGTAGAGAAAGCTGATTAAATTTGGCAACTGACTGCCTCTCTGGTAAATAGCAAACTGGGTAAAGATGTGTGAATAATTACCTGTTTCATACTTTTCCTGAGCTGTTTATGGCAATTTCAAGTATACTCAAATAGAAAAGGCTTAGTGAAATGAACCCTATATGTATATAACCCAACTTCAACAGGCACTAAATCACAGGACTCTTATTTTATCCCTATCACCCCTGACTCTGGATTATTTTGAAGCAAGTCCAGACATATGTCATCTCATTTATTTTGCAGCTAAAGAAACAATAAGTGAGACTATTGCTTGCTCCCTCTTGACCCTTGACGTGGAAGTGGAAGAAGGTGGGGTGGGATTCTTATTCTTTAGAGGAAGGTTGTAAATCTAGCCCATTTTTTCTGAGCAGGTGGAAACCTCACCCCGCACCACCTCCTGTCTTGCTTTCCTGCTAAGATTAATGAGGGGCAGAGGGATGGGCTGGGGGTTACAGGGGGCTGACAGCCACTCCAAGAACTTTTTATCCACCGCCATCCTATTTTCCTCTTAGTCATCTTGTCACCCAGTGTAAAGATCCAGCGGCGTCCTACAAAGACCACATATACACACACTCCCATACACAACAGATACAACCCAGTGACTTCTACCCTACTCAGAGAGACTTACAGGACTGTTCACTGAAGAGGTGGCTTCTCAAATGATACCTTTGAGGGCATTTTCTGAGGCTGAGAAATCTCATTAAGCAAAATTGCCCCATGCTAGGGCTTTGGGCCAGTGGGTCAGTGGGCCAATGGATGGGCAGAGGGCACTTCATGCCTCTCCCATTTTATTGTTCACTTTTCTTTCCCCCGTGAATATAACCATTAAGTAGGTTGAATTGGCCGCCTTCCACCACAGCTACCTCTTTTCCTAATGAGAATGACAAGGAAATTGGATAAAATTGGACTCCTTCAATTCTGAGACACTTTCAATTGAATCTTAAGACAAGCAGTTTTAGAAAACTTAAAATACTTTGACTGTAAATGGCACTGTACATATAAATGGCATCAAATTAACCAAATGCAATTAGCTGAAATGAAGGCAGTAATGGTGGAAAAATTGATGCAAAGTGAAGCAAAATGGCTCAGTAGGATCTGACATTCAAAGGAGGTTAAAAGCTATGTTAGCCAGAGACAAAAGCTAAAAGGCTTGCAGAAGTAAAGTGCTAATTGAGAAAATGAAGACAGAGTTCCTGACCCAGAACTGTGATAAAACCCCTGAAAGGGAAAAATATCACTGCTTTATGTGTTGGAGTATCAGAAAAGGAGGGCTTGTTTTAGATTAACAGCTGAGAAGTGTGATTCCTTCAGAAGGATTTGTCTCTTTTGTTCTCCCAGACACCCAGATTTACCAGGTCTGCCCTGAAGAGAAAAAGCCTCCTGTAGCACTAGGAAGGCAATCATTTGCTGAGAGAGGGGGCGAGCCCGATATCTGAAAGGCAGGAACTTGTTAACATAAAAATCCTAGATGAAAAGAGCCTACACCCAGCACACATGCACACGGACCGACATTACACAGTATTCCGCACTTTGCAAATCAGACCTGGAGATTTCTTTAAATTAGCAATATCTAGGTAAAATATCCTGCTGTTCAATTTTCAATTTTTTCAAAGAAACCCACGTGGTTTTCTGCAGTTGACTTCTAAGAGGGAAGCTATGTACCTCCTTAAGGAGGATTCCTGAAGCCCATCATCTTCCCTGGTTCGTTGAACAAGCGTTGTTTGAGGAGCTCTATTACTTTAGATTAGATGCTGAACTGGACACTGGAGATTCGGGAATAAAGGAGGGTAGCCCTGCCCTGAGGAGCTCACAGTCTGGTTGCAGGTGAGAAATGATTACTGTGCAGGCGTGAGGGTGCCCCAAGGTGGGGATGAGCAGCGACAAGAAAGGTAACACGGGGGATCAGAGAAAGCAGTTCTGTCCCGGAGACTGTCTGAGCTAGGATGGCGTGTGCAGACGTGGAGGAGGGATGACAGGTGGTGTGGTTGGACAGGTTCCTCTGTGAAGCAGTTAGATATGTGGCAGGGGGGGTGTGTGGCCTCGGGTGTCAGGTGAAGAAGTGAAGAGGCTAACAGTAGTGAGGAGCCACTGACAAGCTTTGAGCAGAGGAGTGACAGGAGCATGTTTTTAAAAAAAATTTTGTTTTAACTTTTATTCAGTATTGAGAGACAGAGCGTGAGTGGGGGAGGGGCAGAGAGAGCAGGAGAAATAATCCCAAGCAGGATCCAGGCTCTGAGCTGTCAGCACAGAGCCCAACGTGGGGCTTGAACTCACAAATGGTGAGATCATGACCTGAGCTGAAGTCGGCTGCTCAACCGACTGAGCCACCCAGGTGCCCCGAGCATGTTTTTAGAAGACCACAGTGCATCGGGGCAGAGGTCATGACAGATTTCTCAGGCAAGCCATCTTTCCTCTATCCAAGTCCAGTTTTCTCCTTCTTTCTTCCACCTCTTCACTGACTAGCCAAAATAAACCTCTTGGACTCCATTAGTGTGCTTCCTCTCTGCAGCATCTCTAACTTCAGTATTTTTCCCTAAGATGGGCATGTTGGGCACAGAGGCATGATGGGTGTGTTTTCTACCTGTCCCTGCTCGTAGACTGATACCCTACTCACCTCAGGGAAATGGCAGTGTCACACAGATAGGGTAAAGTAGTGGGAGAAAACAAACACCAAGAGTGACTGAGTCCCCTTGGTCATGGGAGCGTGCCACAAAAACAGTATCAAACATGCTGCTGGAACTTCCACCCTCTTCGTATTTCACCCATTGGTTTCATTAAGAGTGTTTTGGTGTATCTCATCCAGCCAGGTGATGGAAGCAAGTTGCCCACTGACGCATCCACTTCCACCTGGACACCGTTGATGCAGGCGAGCAGATACAAGGACGTGCCCACATGTGCACGGTGAAAAAGTATCTCACAAACACACAAACCCCTTGGGCAGCAAACAAAACATCCTGCTGCCCACTGAGGCCCAAGCGTCAGATTCACACTTACATCAGGTGAAGCGTTAGAGTAGGTATTTCTATTTGCAGAGCAAACAATGAAACATGAGTTGTGTGCATAGACCAGGTGGTGGCAGGAGGAAATGTTCCCACTGGGGGTAATTAAAAGCAAAGCCAAGAGTAAGTCCTTGCAGCCTGGCAAGTGTCTACGCTGCCAAAATGGCAAGTTCTAATAAGCCTCAAATATGCAACCTTGCCTCTCCTTGAACCAGAAGCCCACATCAAACAAGAGTGGGACTTGAGCTGAGATTCAAGCTTTCAGGTGTATTTAAGGAATTTATAAGCCATTAAAATAAATGAGGGAAAAATCATCTGAATTTGTGGGAAAAAGAAGATGACTAGATTTTTTGGAAAAACTGCAACTTTATTATTATCAAGAAGCTATAATGACCTAAGTATCCTCACCCAGCTCAAATGATAAATAAGAAAACATCAAAATATGTTCCATTTAATGTCGGTCTTCACATCAGTGCTGCTGAAACTATTTTAAAGTTGCATGAAAATAGGTCTGCCCTCTGCTTTCAGTGTGCTTGCAACGATGCAAAGGCCAACTGGAGTCACAGCCCAGATCCATGTGACAGTGCATTCCAAATATGTAGTATCCAAATTAATGCTGCTTCACAGCTGTCTCCCAATTAAGCATCCACTCACAGAGGCTTGGAGTGCAGACCCAGTTGCCAAAGAGGTTCCCCAACAACAGCACACCGCTCCCTTTCCACTGCATATTTGGGTTCTCGGTGCTTAGCCTAGGAGAGAAGGTTTGAGTCACGGAACTGGAAAGAAGAGGTAAAGGATTCATACATTCAGCCACTCCCCCTAACCTGGGTTTTTGTCACAGCAGGAGATGGCAACTTCATCTATTCCCAAGCCGACGAAAACCAGAAGGGCAAAGTGGCTCGTCTGGTGAGCCCCGTGGTTTATTCCCAGAACTCTGCCCACTGCATGACCTTCTGGTATCACATGTCCGGTTCACACGTGGGCACGCTGAGGGTCAAACTGCACTATCAGAAGCCAGAAGAGTATGACCAGTTAGTCTGGATGGCCATCGGACACCAGGGAGACCACTGGAAGGAAGGGCGTGTCCTGCTCCACAAGTCTCTGAAGCTTTATCAGGTATGCCCCCTTCCCTTCCCCGGGTGGGAGGGCAACTCCTTCAGAGACACTGAGATAACGTTGAAAATCATGGAGAAGAGATGTGGGAATTATTCCAAAGATGATTTCGGGCATTTCCCGAACCTGGGATTTCGCTGCAATCTCAGTAGCATATTTCGCAGTCTCCAACATTATAGGAATAGAACCAATTTGCTGAGAAAGAGGAGAATGCTACTTTATAATCTATTTCTGGCTGCCACAATGAGCATTCCTTTTATTTGGTGCTTTCCCCAGTTTAACGTTTTGACTTATAAAAAGAGAGTGTTAGAAGTTTGATGCCATCACCAGGCAGTTAACATAGATTGATGATCGAAGCGCACGCTTACGTGAAATCTCATGAATTTAATTTATGTGCCATAGATTGAACTGAACAAGCATTTGTAAACACTGCTATTCAGGACCGAACATTTCAATACTGCAAAAATGATTTCATTTTGTTAGGTGATTTTTGAAGGTGAAATCGGAAAAGGAAACCTTGGCGGGATTGCAGTGGATGACATTAGTATTAATAACCACATTTCACAAGAGGACTGCGCAAGTAAGTATGAAGTGCTGTCGAAACCAGACGCACTTTCCCAGGGCACAGTTATTTTCACGTGATGGTGTTTGTCTTGTTCATTTAGACCTAGAATTGCAATGCAGGCTATAGGCACATCCTGTGAAGTGCAAATTTTGATGCAACAGGGCATAAAATCGGGTCAGTTTATCTTTAGCTACGTCCTTTCCTAACCCAGTTCATTTAGTGTCTGATTGTACCTGCAAAACCACATAAATAATGTGGAATCCAAAAACCATAGCTCAGAAGAAAGACTCACAGTTTACAGGCTATATATACCATGCCAAAACATTTTGATGAAAAGTGGAAAACTCAGACATCTGGATAATTCCAAATATCTGAGTCTATAAACAAAACAGCAGGCCGTTGAAAATTTTGAGCACAGTGAACTTAATTAAGGTTACATTTTTAATGAATCATAGAAGCTATAATTCTTTGCTTTATTACAAGTAAGTAGATGTTTCTGACTCTGAAAATAGTGGCAATGACTCAAGAGAATAAATGAAATTTTGAGACTTTGCCTAGTATTAGAGTTTATGGTTTTTATTGGTCTGGATGTATAGATGAAAGTTGACATAGAAAACCAATTCATATTCCCTGGTTCTTGATATGTAATTATAAATAGAATCACTAATGGCAATGTAATAGCACAGTAATTAGTCTTAAGCTCCATTTGCTACACTTAAACTTTTGCTATATATCATATAATAGGATGTTAATTATAACAAAATGGAGTAAGCCTATTGGGCAAATTTAAGACAAAGGGGGCCTGTTGGCTGTAATGGGTTTTTGGTCATTTCAGCAATTTGCAAAGCTTTTATTATACAATATATTGAATATATGTAATCCTAAAGTGGCAATAATTTGATATGGTCAATTAAAGAAATTAGGGGAAAAAGAGCAGTGAATAAAGATCTGCTTCTTCGTACTATGTAAGGAAATCTATTTAATGCCACACTACTTAGCAGGTCTTCACAAGAAATGATAAGACTTAATATTTCAGTTGCAATTACTCTACAGATTGGCCACATCCAAGTCTACACTGTTGTTAAAATATGTATTTCAGGGGTGCCTGGGTGGCTCAGTCGGTTAAGCATCCAACTTCAGCTCAGGTCGTGATCTCACGGTTTGTGAGTTCAAGCCCTGCGTTGAGCTCTGTGCTGCCAGCTCAGAGCCTGGAGCCTGGTTCCGATTATTTGTCTCCCTTTCTCTCTCAAAAATAAACATTAAAAAAAATATGCATTTGATGCAGTTACACAGGCTTTCCTATTCCAAGATGAGAATTATATTTTTAGAATGTAAGAGTAAACTCCCTAAACTAAGGAAAAGAAATCAAATTTAATTCCATTCAGCAAGTTTTAATGGACTGCATATTGTATGCAAAGCAGCATCCAAGTGCTCCGGTGAATATATAGAGGGATTGAGACAATTCTGTGAGCATTTTTCTTTTCATGTGACTGGTCCACATGGCTATAGTTGTTATGAAGCAATGTACTCAGAAAGTCACAACTAATGCATTGCCAAAATACTCTATGTTGCTGTCACAATAAAAAGATGTCTAAGATAACTGTATAATTATTCATCAAATATATATCCTTGAATATTTAGCTATGGATGCTATGAGACTATCAACTATTTATTACTTATCCACACATTTATGCAACAAATATTTATTGAGGCACCTTTTATGTTCTGGACACTGTTGTAAATGTTGGGAATGTAGCAGTGAATAAAGTACTCAAACTCCCCACCTCCTACTCAAAACCACATGAGCTACTGGAACTCTTTTCCAGAGGGTTTGTTTGTTTGTTTGTTTGTTTGTTTGTTAAGACACAGGACACAGTCTCTTGCCTCAAAGAGCTAGGAAGCAGTTATCTACAAAAGCACAGGATGGTAGCCATATGCACAACCCCACTACTGTTTCCTATTTTCATCAGATTTCTCCCCACACTCCAGATGCCAAAACCATCACCCTCCACTCTTCTCTTCAAAACACGGATAGCTGTGCTAACTGGATTTTGATGTGACACAGATATCCTAGTCATCTGACATTGCCCCTCTATTGATCTATAGTTATGTGGTAGGGTGGGATTGCACTAAAAACTCTCAAAGAGATCTAGCAGAACCATTAGTGTGAGGAAGGTGTGTGTGTGTGTGTGTGTGTGTGTGTGTGTGTGTGTGTGTGTGAAGGTTTATGTGGTTGTGTGTATCGAATTTTGTTGGCAGTTCAAATATCTCTTTCAATTTTGTTTAACTTGTCAGAACCGGCAGACCTGGATAAAAGGAACCCAGAAAATAAAATTGATGAAACAGGTAAATTTTTCTTGCTGACCAATTTTTTTTTTTTTTTAATTTACTATGGCTTTCATGATAAATTTTATGAAGCAACTATCTGGAACATTAGTGCCCTGGTATATCAAAGCAGTTCAAATAAAATAAACGTCTCTGCCCATGGAGCTGCGAATTGTCACAGAGTGAGTGCTCTCTTCTAAGCTGTCTGGAGGTCTAGAGAAGCCACCGAGGCAAGTCCAGCTTGGGGGAGTGGCTGAGCCCTGGGGGAGCGTGCTCGCCCTGCCCTCCCATGTCTGAGCTGGAGGAGCCCCTAGAGCATAACTGTGTGAAACACTCTCACTTTACAACTGTAGAAGTAGGAAACCAGTAAAGACCATGACTTACCCAGAGATCAGTGCTAATTTTCATACAGTAATTTGAAGCCAACCTAAATTCTTGTCTGGTTGATATCCAGACATGATCTTTGAGGACTGGAACCCAATTTTTGTGATAAGCTGTTGTGTTCAATCTGTTTCCCTCCTCCTCTTCATGGGACCCCTAACTTTGTGCTAATGAAGACAGTGATGAGGATGAGGATGATGATGATGATGATGGCAAAGATATATTGAGGACCTAGTATGTTCCACACACTTTATATATGTATCTTCTATGCTCTCTAAAGCTTATTTATCCCCATTTTGTACACCAGGAGGCTGAAGAACTCAGATCAGTGACTTGCCTTTAAGTAGCACGGTTAATTGGGTGGTAGCCTCGGATCTTACACGGATTAATCTGAAAATGTATGTTTTTCTTGACTACTTTGTGATCAAATACAAGACATTTGATCAGAGTTGGGCCTTGCCTAATGCTATTTTATTTCTAGAAGCTTCTGTACCTCCCAGCCAGCAGTTGTGGATTGATGGACACTTGCCCTGGAATCACTCACAGCTGCTGCCAGCAGTTCTGTGTCCTACACATTAGCATAGGCACCTGTTGCCTGTAGAAATGTGGACTGGCTATAGTCAGACTTGGACTTGATAGACACAGATAAATATGGCACTATACTATGACATTAGTAACATTAACACCCAGCTCATTCAGCTTAGTTACACAGCCCACCACGCTGAGATGTAAACTTTATTAGAGGTTGTTTCAAAACAATGTTTCAAGGGAGAGAATATTAATATGCCCCAAGGCTTGTTTTCCCCTGTTTAGGGACTTGCATCTCATATTTTTAGTTTTCTTTGATTGGAATCTTTGTTGATCAGAACACCATTAAGTAAACACTGAATGTTGTGCATTAACATTTTAGTCTCATTTCTAGTACCACATAATTAGGCTCAGAGCTCCCATGTTAATAATTTTTCATGTTCCACTCTAAAGAAAACATTTCCCCAGTGACTGAACTGCAGAGCAGTGTGACTGTCTCCAGTGAAACCACCAAGTCTGCAAAGATGCTGATTATTAACTGTGTTCTATTCAGCACAACACAGACACGGTCTCTAGCTCTGAGCCATAACCCATTTGAAGTGTCAGCAGCAAGCATCCCCTTTGTCCTGAAAGCTCTCTCCTTCTTGAGCGAACCCACGGTGGACTTGGGGGAATCTGTTTGACTTGGGGATTTTACATGTGGAGGAACAAACACGTGTGTAAACTGTGCCCAGACTCGCTGGGAATGGTGCCACATGAAAGGGCAGCTTGGAAGATTTCCTTGTGCCTGGTTTGGGGATCAGGCAAACACACAGGTCATGGTCAAATCCCCTTACTAGCCAAATGTGTGACTAAGCATTTTGCAGAGCTTGATGACCACATGTTTGGCCAGGGACTGTAAACACAGATTGTGATCTAGTACAGATGGTGGGCTGTGCAAAATCTGAATTCGATTAGAACATAACCCTCCCTGTATGTCCAGAATCAGTTGTTTCCATGTGCTGAGCTATCTATCAGAGTCACAACACCGACTCCCCAGAACTCTCCCCTCCCATACCTCAGTTCTAAATCTTGGTGTTTCCCGCACATGGGGGAGCCAAACCCCACTTCAGAGATTGCCTGCGGGCCCTTGAGAGAGGACGGACAAAACTGGAGTGTGGGATTTGCTTTTTTCTCTCCTTTTTGTCTATTCTTCTGTCCACTTTCATCTGTTATGTTGTCATTGCTCATGGGCCAATTGTTCTTTTCCCCTAGGGAGCACCCCAGGCTATGAAGGCACAGGAGAAAGCAATGAGAACATCTCCAGGAAGCCGGGCAACGTGTTGAAGACCTTGGATCCCATCCTCATCACCATCATAGCCATGAGTGCCCTGGGCGTCCTCCTGGGTGCCGTATGTGGGGTCGTGCTGTACTGTGCCTGTTGGCACAATGGGATGTCCGAAAGAAACTTATCTGCCCTGGAGAACTATAACTTTGAACTCGTGGATGGTGTGAAGTTGAAAAAGGACAAACTGAATACACAGAGTACTTATTCGGAGGCATGAAGGCAGACAGATGAAAAGATGAGTCAGAGAATTGAAGGGGAAGGACGTAACTTGAACGTGCTGGGGAACTGTTTGTTGATCTCTCTCACTGTACAGGCTGGGAAGTGCGTTGATGACGCTGAGCCAGGCTTTTCTCAGGAGCATCCATGAGTACGGCCGACAGACATGAACAAGTTAGCTGTGTTCGCAATCGGAATCATGTACAGTCAGCTTTTTTCTGTTGGTTTCATTTGAATAATCCAATGCTGGTGTTGAGACCAAGTATGAATGACTTAATGATTCATTTCGACTCTCCCTCCCCATTCTCTCTCCTCTTCCTTTTATGGATTCTTTTCAGAAACTGTGCAAAATCCAAGATGCTGGCACCAAGTGTATTCAGCAGGGCCCTTTTGATGGACATGCTACCTGTAGCCCAGTGCCCAGAATCTATTAGAATAACTGCACTTCAGTGGACTCCTGAAGCTGTACTTGTGTATAATTGCCTGCGTCGTGCATAGGCAAAGAAGGGTTAGGATGTTTTATGTTAAAGTGCTGTAGCCTCAGTACCAGTATAGTGTGTCAGCTGTTTACAAAGCAATACCGTCAAATTTTCTTGATGTTTTCCAGTGTTGTACTAAACCTCGTGCTTGTGAACTCCATACAGGAAACCGTGCCATCACCAAACACTGCTGGCAACTGGGTGTGCTGCCGACAACCGCAATGAAAAATCCTTGGCACTGGCTAGTCTATGTCCTCTCAAGTGCCTTTTTGTTTGTACTGGTTCTCATTGTGTTACATTAACAACCCGCTCTGTTTCTCACTGGTGAAAGCCCTACTCTTTAATCAAACCCTGGTGGCCCACTGACTAAGAAGAAAGTATATTTTAGTGTGAGATGTCAGCCCCTGGGAAGGCAAGGGCTCCGAAGATTTGGCAATGTGGCTTAATTGTTCTGCTTTTTCCGTAGTTCAATTTCATGTCTCTTGACCCTTTTGTACAAAGCTGCAATATTCTCTCTTATTGGTCTTTCATATGGAATGTATTTTCAAATGTAAACTCTTTCTCTCCTCTCTCTTTCTCTCTCTTTGTCTCTCTGTCTCTCTCTCTCTTTCTCTTTTCTCTCTTAGAATTTAAGCATTTGCCATTGTCCAGAAAAGAAACTTGCAGCTTTAACCTGCTGGTAATGGCAAGCAATTTTGCTAGACTTTATGTTTAAAAATAAATAAATAAGGGAAATTCCTAACTTTGCCCTCCAAAGTCTAACTTTGGTTTTCTTGTTAACTGGTTAAAGTGACAGTATCTTTTTTCCTTAAGCCATTTGTCTGTCTGCTCCAATCAAAATGATCTGAGATAGAAATGTTTGCATTTAATAGAGTGAGAAGCTGAGGGAGAAGGAATACTAATTGGCTTTTAAGTGAGACCCAAAGGAAGGACTGAATACAATTCTCCAAGTATCCAAAAATATGAGATTTTTACATCCAAATATGCAAAATGACCCTTGAGAACCCTCTTGTTTTGCTATTGAATCAGACAAGGGAAATGGAAGAAAGAACAGTTAATTTAAGAAAGTGACTATAAATCCTGGTGCCTGGGGGGAAGTATTTTAAGATAATACAGGGAAAGAAAACAAGTAAAGTCAAAACAAATCTTTAAAAACATCCATTGAGCAGCAACGCTGAAAAAACAGAGACTTGAATGAATGCACCTAGAAACTTCCAATGGCTCACAAAGAAAAAGCCTGCCTTGGGACTGGTAAGAAGGAAGCCTAGAACAACAGCACAGAGCCGTAAATATCTTATCAGGCAGCATGCGAATTAATCCAAAGAAGCTGTGGTTGTTTCCCGTGTATTTGTATCAGGCCATGGTGTATAGAACTTTTAGATTGTCCTTCCTACATTGCCCTGGTTCCCTTTCAGATGCATTTGTGGGAGTCACATTTGCATCATGAATGGGTCAGTCCATTCATCTTGGTTTAATTGGATTATGAATGCCTTTTGTTTCCAGGAAAGTATTGATCACTAGGAAAAAAGAATAGATTTTTATCCCCAGAGGCATTCATTCAGTTGTTACAATCATACCAGGATGAAAGCACTAAGATGTGTTTTTGTTTTTTTGCTTTTTTTTTTTTTTAAGGCAACAGACTTAGAGTTGTCCTTAGTCAAGGAAAAATGATACTGCAACTTTAAATTTTAAAGTATCTTGCACTGATAAATATATTTAAAAATTATATGTTTATAAAGTTATTAATTTGTAAAGGCAGTGTTACAAAATGTTCAGTTTATATTGTTTTAGATTGTTTCGTAATTTTTAAAGGTGTAAAATAACCTATTTTTTCTTTATTGAAATCTATAAGACTTTCTGTAGTAAAATGTTTTCATTTTACTGGTATATGATTGCTTCATGTTTTGTACCATCATAAAATTTTGTGCAAATTTTTTTTACAGAAATTTTTATTTTCTATGACAATATGACGCTTGTAAATTGTTGTTTCAAAATGAACAGCGAAGCCTTAACTTTCAATGACATTTGTATTCTCAGACACTGAGTAGCATAAAAACCACATAGAACTGAACTGTAACTTAGATTCCAAACTATGACTACTACATTCCAAAGAAACAGTTGAATTAAACATTTTCATAAAACACCCACACCTGATGGCTTTTATTATATTAGCTTTGTTCTTGTTAAAGAAATTGGTATTGTGCCAACATTGAATCACTTCCAAGATTTTTTAAAGTTCTTTTTCATTTCAAAATTTTCTTTTTCAAAATTTATTTTACAAAGAGAGAGAGTGAGCTGGGAAGAACAGCAGAGGGAGAGAGAGAAAGAATTCCAAGCAGGCTTCACGCTCAGTGCAGAGCCCGACATGGGGCTCCATCCCACGACCCTGGGATCATGACCTGAACCGAAATCAACAGTCACTCAACTGACTGAGCCACCTAGGTGCCCCTAAAGTTCTTTTTTTAATTTTTAAAGTATATCCTAATTAGGAGAGAAAGTTAAGAAGACATATCCCAAAGTAGAATACTGACCCAAATTAGACACTGTCAGGATATAGGAATATAGAATTTAGCCTTATACACAGAAATTTTTCAACCCCAAATCTTATGTCAAATGCTCTTTATTCCATTTGGTAAATCTTTTTTTTTTTTTTAATGAAATTCACAAATATCTGTTGGTAAGTTTTGTTTTTATAGAAAGTAGGTACTAAACTGACAGGGTTTATGCATGTGCCTATGTAGGTGTAAGGCAGTGTTAAGCATGGCATTACAACTGGCCATTTGCTAATTCTTAGGAAAGTTTCTATTCCATCTGGGACTAAAATAATAGTAATAGTAATAATGATAATGACAGCAACACGAAAGCAAGAGAAATGTTAAGCCAAAGCATGCTGAGTATGACTCTTTACAAAACTTCCAGCAACCCTACTGTCCACAGACCAACAATTCTTTGTTTATCTATAATCCTTTGATTATAGGGAAATTTGAAAGCATAGGAACTTCTTGAGAAGTGGGCTGTTCTGTATAGCTCTTTGCAGGGAACCAATATTCCTGCTTCTCTGGACATTTTTGCCTTTTGCATCTTCCAAGCTTTATCTAAGAATAAGACATTTTCCCTATTGAGGGAATTTTCAAGTCTCTCTGCTTAGAAGAGAGAGACAGAGCTGGGTAATCACTTCACCGAAGTTAAATTCTACCTACTTTCAGGGATGTTTCCAGAAAACATGATGACTGGCAAGGGTCTATCAGAATTCATCTAGAGATGCTTTCTGAAAAATGCTAAGGGCCCTCAATTAATATTGTCTCTGTCTCATGTTTGAGATGGCCTTAAACATAGATGTTTTCACCCTGTGTCACCCCTGGTTAGCTGCTAGGCTACGTCCTTCTTACTGGGTGTAATGAGCTACATCACTCTATAATACTTCCCAAAGTCAGGAATTAAATGTATCATGAGGGTTGAAACACTTAAAAGCATGAAAATTATTTATTGTTCCATCTCCTGTCTTCCTTAATAACTTATTAATTGCCACTTGGGCTGAATTACACTAGTTCGTTTTGCAAATCAAATGGATTTTGTAACATTCCATAATATTTCTGCTTCCCAATGGTAATTATAGCTGTTGTGTTGCATTAAAAAGCAGTTCTGTTAAGCATTAGTTCTATTTCCCTAACCTATATCCACTAAGGGATCTTTACCAGCTTTTCAACTTGGGGGTTGAGAAAGGGAGTAAAGGGAGCCCCAAAGTAAGTAGAACTGAGCACCAAAAGTAGGTAAGACTAGATTAATAACCTTTTTAAAAACCTGTCCAATGAAACATTGCAAGATGATTCAAATGAGAGCATCACATTATCACATTGCATGCAACGTGTTAGCAATAAATGTCCTTTGAACCAATCATATCATTTTAGGAGGAAAAGAGTAAACTCCACTGCACCAGAATTTTCTATGGTGATGTCATTGTACTGCTTTTTATTGAAAGCATTAGCTATTTTCACAGCAGCTCTTTGAGGTAAGGTTTGCAATATTATTCCACCTTATAAATGAGGAATCCAAAGTTTAGGGAGGTTGAATGATGAGTTCAGTGTATCTCTAATCTCATCTCCTCTTCCATTGCTCCTACCATCTCACAGCCCTGCATTTTCTTGCAAGGTGCTTGCATAGGGCCTTGCTACTCAAAGTGTGGCCCAAGAATCAGCATCAATAGTGGCATCACCTGGACACCTATTAGAGCTACAGAATCTTAGGCCATACCCCAGACACACAGAGTCATTTTAATAATATCCCCAGATAACCTGTATTCCCATCCATTTAGGTTTGAGAAGTGCCAAAATAGTCTTCAGTTAATGCTGAGCCAGGTGTATGAAAGTTTGCCTCACTTCCAATAGTGATTTTGAGACACTCAGAGATGGGGAAAATACACATGCCTGCAGGTTTCACAAAGCACTTTCCAGATGAGTCGGAAAACAGACTGGATGCAACCTGGAAAACAGAAAGTAAAATTAGCAAATGGGCAATCCCACTC